TCCTAGCCACATGGCCAGGGTTTCTCCCGGTTTCACCCGTGATTCACGACATAGATCTTGTAATTCAGGCCGGGTGCGTGTACTGTGGGTCATGGTGGTTTGGGTGGTCCTTTGTGCATCATGCAGGAAGGCTGGATACAATTGTTCTACTAACACTATTGGGTGCGGTACAGTCAAGAGAGATGTTTGTGTTAACTGGCAGCGCTAGATACAATGTTTCTCCCTCATGGGATGCGGGGCTTTCTCTTCGTGTTACTCCAGGGGGCGTACCATCTCTTGGCTCCACTCCAGGGGATGTACCATCTCTTGGCTCCACTTCAGGGGACGGGGCCAAAGGACTTGGTACGGTCGGCCTGTCTCCTGAGGGAACTTTTGCGCCCCTTTTATTCTCCCCTTCTTCGCCGGCGCCCTCTTGGAATGGCGGCGGGTCGGGACACCACCACTCTATGCCCGCTGTACACAATCGGGCCTCCAAATCCTTAATTTCCCTCAATAAACCCGTCACCGCACGAAGTAACACACTTATAATCTTTCCTTCATTCCACTTTTGCCCTGACCATTTCACTGCATGGTGGCCCTCGGTCTCTAGCCCCTCCCATAGCTGGGTAAGAAGCTCGTGGCCTTGTGATCCGGGCGCTAATGCCGGACAATTAAACTGGTCCGCAGGACTGGGTTCCCCTCCTTTTCTCAGGTACTGTGTGCAGAGAGTAAACTCTTGCGCTGGGGTATGATCGCTTATGTCGGTAGATGATTTGGCACAATGGAGTTGTACCTCCGCAGCCGTATCTGGTGGTCGGTACAAGACCACAAGGCTAGCTAGGAGACACCCCAGGGCTGCGTGAGTGAGGCCTGTAACAGCCCATTCTTTGAGTGGCCCCCCGGTGTTTTCAGTCGGGCGGATCGAAACATGGCCGCCGATCCTCCCATCTGGCTGGGCCTGGTGGTATGCCACATGGGCCCATAAATCATCGGCATTTGTGGTCAGGGGCCTGTGGTGATTTCGCCACGGGCAATGCCGGACTGATAGGTCAGTGCACTCTTCATTCTCCCTTTGCCCCAGAGATCCTGTTCGTGACGCCATGTGGTAAACTGCGGCGGGTGGATGACCAACCCTCCAGTACAACCAGGCCGGGGACGAAAGGGACACTGACTCAAGTTAAGGTGGTAAAATAAACTTAGGTTTTACTTACAACTTGTGCAAGATGGCAGAAAAACTCTTAAACAGCAGTTAAACAGCAAGCAGGCAGCAGCTGCTTCTTACAACGTACAGCCAGAAGATGATAGAACAACGAAGTACGAACAACGATTGCAAATGCGGGTAACAACAGCAAAACTGTTGTACAAGAGCTCGGTGCATTTGATATGTTTGGTAGCAAGTATACAATTGTCGGCCTAGGGGACACGGGCTCCTGGAAAGGGTGATCAGTCCTCTCCAACTGTTCGTGTGGAGCCCCGAGGTCCCCCCACTCTGGCGCTCTGCCCCTTTTATAAACTCCTGAGCCAATCAGAATATGCTGCTGATGTTCAGTTAGGAGAGTGTGACTGCCGGCCATGCAGCCACGCGTCTCATGCAGCTTCTGATTCGCTGAGGCCGTCTGATCACGCGCCTGTCCGCACTGATCATGAGCTCTTCACACACTGAACACAACTTACCCTCGTGTTTCACATTGGTCTGGCATGTGGGCTGGCGTTTGGTAACTTTTTTACTCAGACACCTCCCTCTCTAAGAGCAGGGAGGGCCGAGTCTGTCGCACACAAAGCAAAGGTGCAAGCAGAGCTCCATGAAGGGCTATGGGAGGGCATGGAACCTGTGGCTGCCAGGGACTGTGCCACCAGTCAAGGTCTCCATTGGCTCAGTCCCAAGGAAGAAAAGCCAAGCTAATGAGGCCACAGGCAGGAGCTGTGATACAAGGTTGGAGGCATGTCAGCTGGGATGAACCTGAGGGCTCAGGAGTCTGTTCCCTTCTCTTGTCCCAGCTGTGCTCAACAGAGCTTTGGGGAAAGTCAGGCAGAATAGAGGTCCTCATCAGTCTAAGGGTTTCTCCACCTCAGGAAATGCCTTCAGGCCACAGCTTCTATCCCAGGGCAGCTGTGATCACTCCCACATGCTATGCTGGAGGAGACTGATGACTCTGAAACTCATGCCAAGCTGGGGCCTACTCACAAAGTTAAAATACAAAACATTGATGCTAACTGCATAGTACAAGAGGATGTGAGTTCATGGCTAGGTTGAAATAATGAGATATCGCTTCCAGCTTATCTTACTATATTCATGATATGATTTTAAGCAGGCTCCTAGTTGTCTGGTACGTAACCGTGTAAAATATACAACCTTGATTAATTAGTATGGTAAATACTTCTCTTGCAATTAACTCATGTTATGGACAGGAAGAGTCATTCTCCATGTGTAACAGATGTCTCCTCCTTATTTACTTCTTTTTTGCCTTGTAGTTCCTTTGATTTTCCAAGGACACTCCCCAAAAACTTGTGCATTTCTTGGTTGTTAATCAGTTTCTTGATATGTTCCAAACTTAGTAGAAATGGATAACCTCTTGTCACTGAGGAAGGTCAGTCATGCAAATTGAAACTTTCTGATAACCAATAATGAGCAATTTGATTAATAGGATTTTCCTGTCAAATACTGCTTGGGACTCTCTTGATTTACACAACTACAAGAATGCTTTGAAGATGCTGAACTAAGGGTATAAGAAAGAAGTGGAACAGCTAACAGCACGCACTTCAAGAACCTGGCTCTCAGACTTCTTCCAGGAGGACTTGACTTAATGACTGTGAGGGGAAATGCCTTGTGCAAACACACCTCAGTCATCTCTAGGACATTAGGAATGAATTAACTGAAATGGATTTCCTTGCAATACTATATACATGGGGGTTGGACTTGATGATCAGGGGTCAGACTTGATGATCTGCTCAGGTCCCTTCTGACCCTACCCTACCAACTATGAAACTGCTGACAAGAAATGCTGCTGTGCCCCAGCCATTTCGAGAAGCTGGAGGAAACAGACCATCTCTTGCCATCTGTTTGGTGTTAAATCATTACCTTGTAGTTAATTATTGGACTTTGTTTTGGTTTAGACTCTGACATTGAATACTTGTAGTAAATACTATTCATTCCATCTAGGAAGAGCACACCAACTGCAGAGACTTCCTCAGCCTGATGAAGGGTTTTTGAACCCAAAAGCTGGCTAAAACATTTTTTTCCCCAACTATTTAAGGTGGTCTAATAAAAGATATCAGATTCACCCAAAGAACCTTGTCTGCCTGTAGTAAATAAAGCCTTTCTATCACTCGTTGAACGAGGTGTTGTGTCAAACACTTAAAAACCTAGGATTCCAGACTAGCCTATTTACTAACAGGGCGTGTGCAAAACTGCAGGTTTCTTGGAAAGCCTGCAAAGAGCTCCCACGCCAGCCATGGCTGCACTTGGCCAGGGGAGCCATCTCCGCTGGAGGTCAGGATCGGCGTTCAGTGGTGCTTGCTGCTGCAGGGCCTTGGCTGTATGCAGGCTTCACACAGGGCATTTAAGTAAATCAGTCTGCCTAACTGCCTCTGCTACTCGCATACCTATCCCTGGAAGGCACAAAGGCTTCCTGCCCTGTTCACCTGCCTCCTGCAGAGCCCCAAGTGCTGAGCCATTCCTCTTCAAGTGCTTATGGGTCTCCTTTTCTAGCTCATAGGACTGGCAGCTATGGAAGCTGTATCCCAGCTGCTAAGGAACCAGCTCAAGTTGATCATTGTGGCTCTCTCCACATCCCAGGACTGATCAGGCAAATCTCCTTTCCCCCAGTGTGAAGTGCAGCAGCAGGCTGTAGACCAGTAAAACTGCCTTTGCTTTGTGTGTGGCAGACTCGTTTAGCAAAGGCCAGCTCCTGAAGCCTCAGTCTGGTAAGTGAGTGAGCAGGTGATGGTTAGGCACAGTGAGAGACCAGAGATGGGGGATTAGTCACGATAGGTAACAGTCTTCATCTCTCAGCCTCCATCTCAATGGACTCCCCTCAAGGAGTAGTTCTCTTGCCCCTACAAGGGAAGCTTTCCAGGGGGGAAGGGCAGAATGAGCCCAAGTAAACACCATGTCCTGTCCCCTGAGCTGGGGTATTCAGGAAGGGCAGAGACCAAGTAGGAGAACCTTACCAAGAACTTTGTCTGTGGTCACAGGAGGTGTGTTCCCAACTCCTCCTCCTTGAAAACGCTTTGTAGAGCATAATGGATCCTTTCATGCACGTCCCTTCACACTTGCCTGGGGCATGACCTCTTCTTGCTGTGACCCTTGTCCTCCCCCAGCCCATCCTGTTTGCCTTACTCACTCTTGCCATCACTACTCAAGGTATAGCGTGAGACTCCTTGACAGGACCCACCTACTGTGTTGTCTGTGGCACCCAGCGCAAACACTCCAATTACAGCCCTGGTGACTCTCTAGGGCAGGGGTAGGCAATGTTTTTTGGCCCAAGTGCCGAAAAAACCACAATGTCTACCTTGAAGGTGCTGGAGTGCCAGCATGCCAGAAAAGCAAAACGAGGGCAGGGCTACGTGACAGGGTGCACTGCATATTAGTATGGTTAATAATCATAAATGTTGCTTTTTTATGGTAAATACCAGGTTTTCTAAAAATTGTAAACCTGGTGACAATAAATAAAACTTCTGATACCACCTTTGATCCCCCACAACACCCCCCAGCCCTGCTCATGCCCCTTGCCCCCAGCCCCCAGCCGCCAGGGGGCCAGAGACCCTGCTGGAGGGGGCCCCCAGCTGCCAGGGCTATGGGCGCAGGTGCACGGGGGCAGGTGCACAGCTCCCTGCCCCCAACAGAAGGCAGCGGCTGGACGCG